TAGCACAGAGGAGAATCTGTGTTACACAGAGCAATGGTAGGTAGGTTAACATAAGACGCCTCCGTGAGAGGCTGGTGGTCAGCCCTTGGGTCAGTAACCACAAACAGCCGTGGCTCCCGGAAGGCTGCTTGGATCTGGTTGGTGAAGTTTCCAGAAGTAAAGCAGCCAGCAATTGGAGTGGCTCCAGTGGCAGCAGCAAACTTCAGCACAGCCCTCTCGCCAGTATTCCTGGAGGATATAACACTGACATCAGCAGGGTTTTCAATGGCAACAATGGCACGAGCTGCCAGGAGAAGCTTCTCCCAGGTCCTCTTCAGATTTATGATGTAGATGCCATCACTTTTCCTTTTATAGATACACTGCTCCATCTGGAAGTCAAGATTGGTGCCACCTAAATGGGTTCCTGCTGCCACGAACTTGAGGACATCCTCCTCCTTCATTTACAGGACATCAAGGGCTCCGGACATTGTGCAAATTTCCCTTTAAGTTACGATGGGAATCCAGAAAAACGCCGTTTGGAGCCCTCAGCAGGTAGCGCGGAAAGGCAATCTGCTTAGTGTTCTATAACCTTTCTCTAAGTTTGGGAAGTTCTCTGATATTATCCCTTTGAATAAACTTTGCCCTTATCTCTCTCTCTACTTCCTCTTCAAGGCCCCGAACTCTTAGATTTGTCATTTTGAAGCTATTTTTTAGATAGCATAGGCATACTCTCATTCTCTTCTATTCTTCTTTATCTCCTATAACTGTGTATTTTCAAATAGCCTGCCTTCAAGCTCACTAATTCTTTCTTCTGCTTGATTAATTTCACTATTAACAGACTCTACTGCATTATTTAGTATTTCAGTTGCAGTTTTTAAACTCCATAATTTCTACTTGATTCTTTTATTTCAATCTCTTTGTTAAATTCATCTGGTAGGATTCTGAATTCTTCTCTGTGTTATCTCGAATTTCCTTGAGTTTCCTCAAAATAGCCATTTGAATTATGTGTCTCAAAGGGCACATATCTCTGTCTGTCTGGGATTAGTCACTGGTGATTTACTTAGTTCATTTGGTGAGATCATATTTCCTGAATGGTCTTGATGCTTGTGGATGTTCATTGGTGTATGGGCTTGTTTGCACCCTTCCTTCCTGGGAAGCCTTTCTAGGTATTCAAAGGAACTTGGGTGTTGTGATTTAGATTTTGGTGAATGCAGCTGTATTTGCATTAGGGGGTACCCCAAGCCCGGTAACACTGTGGCTCCTGCAAACTTGAAGAGATACCACCCTATGGTCTTGGATAAGATCTAGAAGAAGTCTTCAGATTATCAGGCATAGACTCTTATTCTCTTCTTTTCTTTCTCCAAAACAAACAGTCTCTCTCTCTCTCCTTTCTCTTTCTCCTATCTTTCTCTCTCTCTGTTTGTGTGTGCTGAGCTGGGAAGAAGGATAACACAAGTACCCCTGTGGCCACCACCACTGAGACTGTGCTGGGTTAGACATGAAGCCAGCACAGCACCGGGTGTCACAAAAGGCCTGTGGTAACCACTGTCTGGCTACCACCTATGTTCACTCAAGGCCCTAAGGCTCTACAGTCAGCAGGCAGCAAAGCCAGCCAGACTTGTATCCTTTATTTCAGGGTGCCAAGTATCCACCAGTCCTGGGCAGGTCCAGAGATGCCACTTGGGAACCAGGGCCTAGGAATGAGAAAGTTTAGGAATCTACCTGGCGCTCTGTTCTACTGCAGCTGAGCCGGCACCCAAGCCCAAGGCAATGTTTTTCCCACTCTTCCCTCTCCATTCCTCAAGCAGAGGTGTCTCTCCCTGTGGCCACCACTGCCCCAGGCCCATGAGTACTGCCTGGCTACTGCTGATGTTTATTTGAGGATCAAGGGCTCTTGAGTCAGCCTGTGAAGGCTGCCTGGCATAGGGCTCTCCTTTCAAGTCAGTGGGCTCCACTATGGCCCAGGGCAGGTCCAGAAATGTCATCCAAGGGCCAAACCCTGGAACTGGGGACCCCAAGTGCCCACTTGGTTGTCTACCCCACTGTGGCTACACTGGTACCTAAGCTGCAAGACAAAGTCCCCTTTACCCTTCCTCCTACTTTTCTCAAGCAGAAGGAGCACCTTCCCATAGCCACCACAGCTGGAAAGGTGCTTGGTGACACCTGAAGCCAGCATGTCTCTTAGTCTCACCTAAGGCCAATGGCAAGTACTGCCTTGGTTCTACTGCAAATTATTCAGGAACCTAGGGCCCTATAGTGAGCAGGTGCTGAATGCTGCCAGGACTGGGTCCCTCCCTTCAAGGCAATGGGTTCCCTTCTGGCCCAAGGTGCCTAGAAATGTTGTCAGGGAGCTGGGGCCTGAAATGGGAGACTCAGGACTCTGTCTTGTGCCCTCCTATCCTGCTGTGGCTGAGCTGGATATCAATCCAAGCTGCAATACACAGTCTTGTTTACTCTTCCTGCTCCTCTCTTCGAGCAAAAGAAAAGAGTCTCTTTCAAAGCTGTAAGCTGTGAGGCCTGGTGTTGGCAGAGGGATGATGCAAGCACTCCCTTGGCTGCCCCAGCTGCTGTCTCACTAGCTCATATGCCCCCTGCCAAGTCCACTGGCTTTATGCCAAGCCCAGCACAGCATCAGGAGTTCCCCTAGAATTGCAGTCCTTGTATCCTAGACTGATTTTCAAGTTATTTAGAAACCCAGAGCACTTTAATGCATGGTTGTGAGTCTTTCTGGAACTCAGGTTCCCACGACTGGGATGTATAATTCTTTTTTGGCAAGGGCTGGTCTAAATGCTCCCTCTGTGGGTGCTGGCTGAGTTCTGCAGCTGTGCTGGTACCCAAGCTGGTGTTGTTTCCACTGTGACAGGGCAGCACTGGGTTCCAACGCGAAGTCCCACAATGGCTGCACTCTCCCTCCCGCAAGTGCAGAGATTCTCTCTGTGCCATCTGGCAGCTGCTGGGTGATGAGGTAAGGGTGGTGTCAGCCATTCAAGACCGTCTTTTCTACCTTCTTCAGTGCCTCTTTCAGTGATATGAAGTTAAAACCAGGTATTGTGATCATTCATTGGAGTTTTGGTTGTTATGAGGGTGCTTTTTTTTGTGTGTGTGTGTATAGTTGTTCAATCTGGTGTTCCTGCAGGGAAGACGATAATCAGTGGAGCGTTCTATTCAGTCATCTTGCTTCATCTCCCTTGGTAATCTCACATTTTATGAGTGTTAAGTACTTTGAGTTCACTGTGCTTTTAAATTTTGTTTTGTTTCTGGCTGCTTAAAAATTTCCCCCATCTCTGGCTGGGTGTGGTGGCTCAGGCCTGTAATCCCAGCACTTTGGGAGGCTGAGGCAGGTGGATCACTAGGTCAGGAATTCAAGCCCCGCTGGCCAACGTAGTGAAACCCTGTCTCTACCAAAAATACAAAACTTAGCAGGGTGTGGTGGCACATGCCTGTAGGCCCAGCTACTCGGGAGGCTGAGGCAGGAGAATCACTTGAACCCGGGAGGCAGAGGTTACGGTGAGCCGAGACTGCACCATTGCACTCCAGCCTGGGCGACAAGAGTGTCTCCATCTCAAAAAAAAAAAAAAAAAAAAAAAAAAAACCGGCCCCCATCTCTTGAAACCAGCAATGCAAAACAAATATAATTTAAGCAGGACCGTTGTTTTGAAACAGGAAGACTTCTCAAACATCCAGCCTCAAGCATTTAGCAGGGAAGTTCTACGCATCGCTTTTCACCTGTTGCAATCTGGCTCACTACCTGTCTGAAACTGCTTATGCCAAGTCACTCAATGTTTTTGTTATTGCCAAATTTAACATGCACTTTTAACTTCTTTTCGTATGTGAGCCCCTGCAGTCCCAAATGCTCCCTTTTTCTTGAAACCCTGTCATTCTTTTGATTGTGTGATATAATTATCTCCTAAATATTCTCCTATCTTACTGGCTGTGCATTTTTAGCCTTCTTGGTGAGGTCCTTTTAACCTTTCTACACATAGTGATGGCCTCAGAAATCTATCTGCGGCTTTCTTGCTTTCTTCACTTTCTACTTTGTATTCTTTCCTGAAATAATTTCATCAAATGCTGTGGCTTAGTACCCTGAATTCCCCCATTGTGTCTTGCACTTCCAGGCTTTTATACATGCCTCTCCCTCTGTTTGGACCATGTCCTCTCAAACTTTCAAAAACCAGATTAACTAACGTGTCTTTCTAAGAAAGACCCAACTCAGGTCTGTTCTCCTCCAAGATATCTTTGCTGACAACACCTAATGTACATGCTCCCAGAGCACCTTGTATCTACCTCTGCCATTTTATACACCATATTGTAATCATCTGTTTACTGATCTGTCTTTCTGACATAGTTATGCTGTATCCTCAATGTCTAGCACAGGGCCTAGTCGATGGTAGATAAACACAGGTTTTTTGAATAAACAAAAGAACACCTGAATAAGTAAATGAATGAATAAGTGATTTTGGAATGGGTACTTTGGGGTTTGGAAAGAGGGTAAAAGGCGGTGAAAGAAGAGGAGAAGAAAAAAGGGAAATGACTGGTATACTTAAGCAGCTTGTTTTGTTACCCTTGCTTATGTGGAATAAAGTTATCATTTCATTTCATCAAAAGTTTATTGAGCATCCAGTATGTGCTAGGCACTCTGCTAGATGCTAGGAATACAAAGATGAAGATCAAAACAACATAAAAACAAACAAACAAAAAAACCCCACTTCTGTACTTACCCCTCCCCACCCCCATTTTAAGGCAGATTTGGCTTAAGCCTGGGAAGCTGGCCCCTCAGGGATTCAGCACCGGGGAGTGGCATGCTCTCATCTCACCCTAACCTTCACCTGTGCATCTCAAGGTTGACCAGCAGGTACTCCTCCTCCAAGTCCTGCCTCTTCCACTTTCCTGAGAAACTTTCCCCTACATGCATTTTCTCATTATGGATGAGGCACCTGGGAAGTTTAGGGGAGCTGCAAAGGCACACCTGCTCAAATGAGCCTGGGGACATGCCTAGGGACAGGGAGCTGAGAGAGGCATGCAAAACGTGCCCTGGTGTGGAGGTGATGAGTAATGGGGGTCTTGGAATTGCTCCATGGGATGGTGGAGAATCAGCTCTGGAGTTTAGGAGGTTGGAGAGGGGCCAGGGATGCGAGGACGCTTGGAGGCATTCAGGAGGAGAGGACGGAACACACAGAGGGCCTCCTTCTCTTTCAGCTTTTTAATTGCCCTCTCTCCTCACACAGTAGATTACTGCTCCTCCTATGAACTGTTCAATAGATGGTGGCATGGGCACAGCCTGGCTACACAGTGGCCAGGCCTCTTTATTCTGATGTTAGTGTGATTAGGGAGTCTGCCCTTGTTCTGTTCCCTGGGATCTGAGCATGTGGGAGCAGGGCAGATGGGTGGCAGGAGGCCAGGGGTTGGATCATGTTTCCCCGAAATGCTGGGAAGCAATAAGCCTCCTCCCCCCCTCCACCCCCCCCACCATTTCTCTGGAGATTAGGACTTGTTCTCACAGCTGGAGGAAGCTCAACAACCTTCCTGAGGGCAATGATTGTTTGAAAGGCTTATTTTGTAAGGAAGCCAGGATGAAGATATGAGTTTGATGAGCTAAAACAATTCCTCACTTGGTCTGGATTTCTGGGCCAGGGGAGTAGGTGGAATTCACTTCTCTAAACGAATAAGCCCATCCATCTCTTTTATTCAGGAACAGAGACAGAAAGAATGCTTGGCATGGCATGCCTCTGAGGGAGGCTCTAGGAGGAGGCCAAGCTGGCAGGCTCGAGTTCTTTGCCCTTGCTAGGGCCCAGGTCAGAGGGAAAAGAAATGAGCCGGGCGCAGTGGCTCACGCCTGTAATCCCAGCACTTTGGGAGGCCGAGGCTGGCGGATCACGAGGTCAGGAGATCAAGACCATCCTGGCCAAAATGGTGAAATCCTGTCTCTACCAAAAATATAAAAACTTAGCCGGGTGTGGTGGCCGGCGCCTGTAGTCCCAGCTGCCTGGGAGACTGAGGCAGGAGAATTGCTTGAACCCAGGAGGCGGAGTTTGCAGTGAGCAAGGTTGGCACCACTTGCACTCCAACCTAGGCGACAGAGCGAGGCTCTGTCGTAACAAACAAACAAAAAAGAGAAATGTATTTGTACCCTTCTCTCACCAACTTGCAGGTCCCCAGGTACCAGGTGCTCAGGGGAAAAGGCCTTCACAATGATCCCCCAGCTCAGAACAGCCCCTGCACACCCAGTTACCTGCATCTGGCTTCTCCTTAGCTAAGTACAGCTGTGAATTTCGGGAAAGTGGCATCTCTAATCTGAACTTCCCAAAAAAAAAAATGCCTCAGAACTCAGGCATTTGTTCAGAAGGAAGGGTGGTGAGTGGGAAACCTCATAGCTCCCTGGGAAGAGCACAGGATAGTCACGGGCATTAGGTTACTGATGTTAGTTTCCATAAATCCCTTTCGGGTATTGGACCGGAAATTTAATAATCTATGTGGTTCTAAGAGGGCACAACCTATACCAACTGAGAACACAGCCAGTAAACCGGAAGCAAAAGCGAGCCGCTTTCACCACCTCTGCACTGCCGCCTCCGCGCACTCGCCTCCGTCTGCGCATGCTCACACAGGTCCACACCCGAGACACCAGCGCCCCGCCGGGACCTCCCCTCGCCCAGAGCGCACCGCCCCCTGGCTTCCCAGCCCTCCCCAAGGCAGCCGGCCGCAGACCGCAGGCGCCTCGCAGGGGGTCCCGAGGAGGCTCAGGCGCTGATCTCCACCGGGCCGGCCTCATCCTGCTCCCGGATTATGTGCACGCCCGCAGTCCGCAGTGTGCGCGAGGCGCTGCGCGAGCGGCCGGGCGAGCTTGGGGCCCTAGGGGGCGACGTGTGCGTCCGGCCGGTGGCGGGGGAGCGCGCTGGGGAGCGTGGGTAGCGGCGGGCGGAGCGGATGGGCAGCCCCGGCGAGCGGCCGGGCACGGCGGGAGACACTGAGTAGCCGGGCGGGCCGGGCTCTGTCGCACTTCGAGGCTCCGGGGCCGGGCTCTCCTCGGGCTCCGGGGAGTCCTGCAAGGACACGCCCCGCAGGGGTCAGAGGACAGTCCGCCCAGCCTGGGAGCGCGCCTGGTGTCGGAGCTCGCTGGAATTCCGAGGGGAGGCACCCGGTTCCCTCTGCACGCCCCCCTCCTGGAAGGGGCAGACAGAGGTCTGGTTTTTCTGGCAATATGCCACACTGAGCATGGGGTCTCCCGGCACATAATAGGTGTTCAGTAAATGTTGAAATGCGATTTTTTTCCTTTACTCTCCTCTTTCCACCGGTCATGGACAGCCTGGGACAGAGTCAGTTGTGCAATAGGGTGGAAATCACCAGAACTCGTGTCCAAAGACCTAGGTTTGAAACTTAGATCTGCCACTCATTCACTTGTTTAGTCCTGAGCAAGTCATTTAACCTCACAGCCTTGTTTTTCTAATCTCTAAAATGGTCATGACACATACATTTCACAGGGTTACTCTGAGTACTATAAAGCAGAGGTCCCCAGCCTACAGGCCAAGTACTGGTACTGGGCTATGGCCTGTTAGGAACGTAACGGCAGAGCAGCAGGTAGGCAGTAGGCCAGAGAGCAAAACTTCCTACGTATTTACGGCCGCTCCCCATCGCTTGCATTATCGCCTGAGGTCCACCTCCTGTCAGATTAGTGGCTGCACTCGGTTCTCATAGGAGCACGAACCCTATTGTGAACTGCACATGTGGGGATCTAGGTTGCATGCTCCTTACGAGAATCCAATGCCTGATAATCTGAGGTGGAACAGTTTCATCCCGAGACCACCCCCCACCCCCACCATCCATGGAAAAATTTTCTTCCATAAAACCGGTCCCTGATGCCAAAAAGGTTGGGGACTGCTGCTATAAAGGGATAGGATTATGGTATGGCTCTCTAGCACCAGGCATGTGGGAGGGACTCACTGTATGTTTCTGGGCACCCAGCCCAGAGCTGCTCACCTTGTCCTTCAGGATATAGAGTGCCATGGGGTTCTTCCGTTCCTGCTCACCACTTCGAGGGAGGGTGTCTGCTGCACATGGGAGAGAATGGGTGGCTGGCTCAGGTACAGACTCTCCACCCCAGCTGGCACCTACTCTCTGTGTTCCCTAACTGGCCCGCCACGACCTCCACCAACATATCTGAATATCCTGTCTCCTACCTTGGCCAAACCTCTCCCTCCTCTGCAGTCTTTGTGCAGTTGGTGGAGGAAGGGGCCCTGCAGAGCTCGTTTCCTTGTCACCCAGTTCTGTCTTTTCCCAGCAGCCCACTGACACGTGTCGATGGGATGGATGAGTGGGTGGCTGGGAGCTCACCTTCTGGTTTCAGGCGGTCATCATTCTGATCCATGTATTCCAGGGAGTTTTGCTTCTCTAGCTTCTTCTGTTTCCTGTGAATCAATCCAGCCCCACCATGAGCCAAACTATTGAATGTGAGAAGGGGAAGATCTAATGGGGACACAGGGAAGAATCTGATGGCCATAAAAGAGGCCTTGTGACAGGAAGATGGGCTGGGTACAGTTCATGAGCTTTGGAATGAGCCACATCTAGGTTTGCACCTTGAGTCTGTCACTAGCGTTGTGACTGTGGGCAAGTCATTTAACCAATTCGAGTCTCAGTGTCATTATCTGTAAACTGCAGATAATCAAAAGGTAGCAGGCTAACCACAGCCACAGTACCTGGCCCCAAAAAAGGTGCTGGGCAAGTGAAAAACTACTGTTACTGGGCTAGGGTTGTGGGGCTTGGAGCACAGGATGCTGCTGCACACGCAGTGGTAGACTGGATCTTTGGGGAAGAGATACAGAGCCCTGGGAGGAAAGGCACGTAAAGAGACTTCAGATAGGGCTTAGGTTTGGGATGGATTGAAGGACTCGGGTGCTCAGGAGAGTTACCCAGACCTTTTGGAGGGTTTCCAGCAGGCACAGACTGTCACCAAGGTCACAAGGAGGAAGATGCCTCCTGTAGACAAGATGATGTAAAGGGAGCTTCTTCCTAGGGAGAGAGAGAAGCAGAGAGGCAGGAGAAACTTCAAAGGGGCAAGGTGTGGTGAGCAGAGCATCCTGCCATGGAAGGAAGAGAAGGGGAGCCCCAGGCCACATGCCTGGCTGATGCTGGTAGTGGAGCTTGCACAGAACCCACTGCCTACCTCTTGGTGTCCTCCATGGACAGTTTGTCCATCTCTGTCCCCTCCCCCCCAGTGACACTCTTTGGGATGTCCTCAGTCTCTCATGGTCACCTGCCTCTTGGGGCTTTAAGTACTTAAGGAAAGCCTGCAAGGAAACTCACTGTATACGGTGATCTTGATGGGCAGGCTGCGGCCCTGGCTGATGGGGTTCTCCACCACGCAGCTGTACAGGTCGTCGTCCTCCATGAGCACGCGCGTGATGGTGAGCACCTTTTGGTCAGGGGACAGGAGCATCCTCGAGTCATTGAGGAGGGGCTTGCCATCCTTCAGCCAGGTGTAGCTGGGCTTGGTACCATTCTCGTGCGAGCAGTTCAAGGTGAAGGCCTCACTGAGCTCCAGCACAGTGGTCGAAGCCACCAACACCTGCGGCCTAGAAATGGGCACTGAGCCGCAGGAACGGGGGAGCCTGTGAGTCATTGGCTAAGAAATGTCCCCCTTCCCCTTTTTCAGCTCGCGGCCTTCCAACACACCTTTAACACTGCCTTCCAACTCAATCTGTGGGCTGAGAAGACTTCAGGCATCCTAAATCCAGTCCTTTCCCATCATTTATTTCATTTGTTTCACCATTTATGGAGCACTAACTAGGCACAGTGGGTAAATTCTGAACAAGGCACACATGGTGTTGCCCTCGTTCCCTCTTTCCAAATGCCTTCCCAAGACCACTGGGCTTTAATGTCTTAAACTGACCTAGCCAGGAAGATATTTTAGTTGGGCTAAGCATAGGTCCAAGTGCTTAGGTTAAAATCTTGGCTCTATCACTTCTAGCTGTGTGACCTTGGGCAAGTTATTCAACCTTTCAGTGGCTCACTTTCCTCATCTGCAAAATGGGAATAATGATATTAACTATCCCGATTTAATGAGTCAACATATGCAAAGCACTTAGAATAGTTTCTGGCACATGGCAATCACACTACATGATTTAGCTGTGCTGTGCCTGTCTGCCAACTTCTAGCGTCCACTTGCCTCAGTCTCAGCTTCCAAGTGCCTTTTGGGTTGGTTTTCCCTTGGTCTAGTTGGTGCGCTGGGCAGACCCTTCCCCAGTCCCACCTGCCAGTCTTGCCTCTTTCCCTGCCAGAGCACTTTACCATCTACAGTAAGGTTGATGGTCTTCTCCCCAGTGAAGGTGTCATCGGTGATGGAGATCTCGACCTCATAGGTGCCTTCATCAGCCAGCTGCAGGTCGCTGAGAAGCAGGGAGCCATTTTCAAAGAGCCGGATACGGTCTCGATAGTCAGGCCGCAGGGTGCCGATGATCTCCGTGCCAATGGACTGCACCACGGTCACTGGCTTGTCACGCTTCAGCTGCCACTTCACTACAGGCTTGTCGCTGCTGGTACTGCTGTACTGCACAGAAAGCAGAGCCGACTTCCCCACGGTGCCATGGATGAGGCGCACGGGGCTGGTAATGTTCACCCCCTCCAGGGGGTCTGTGAACAGAGACCCATGAGGAAGAGGGCAGCATCAGGCCCTGGGCTCCTTAGCCCACTCCCAACTTTAAGCCCTCTGAGCTCCCAAAGCCTTGCCTGTCTGGC